GTAGTGCAAGTTTAGAGATTTATTTATAATGCAGGTGATGGTTGTGCTATTTACAGTCTTTCAGCAGTTCTTAGTTCAAAAGCCTCTTATTTACCAAATCCAACAAAGGAGCATTTCCAAAACTGATGGGAACCACTGGGATGTCTTAAACAGAGGACAAGACACATTAGAAATCTATGTGATGACAACGAGGACCATGACGTGCAGATCAACAAGGAGATCGCTACCACAGTGAGGCAGAGCTCAAGTAAAGACCGAATGTCAGATCCCAGCATAGTCAGCTGTTTGTTAGATGTTTTGCTTCAGGTGTGTCAGGGAGAGGGCAGAGATCCCACCAGTGTTCTCACCCTGTAAGGTAAAGCAGGGTAAGTAGACACACACACAGCAATAAGCACACATACCAAGAGGCAGAGAGAAAGAAATGTTAAATGTTATTGTCACGGCCGAGGCCGACTCGAAAGGAATAGGACTCAAATGCAGGACGCAGAGCAGCACAGAGAACGTTTAAGTGACAATGTTTATTATTTCCACAACAAATGTAAGAGAACAAAACTGCCGGCTCGGAGGAAAAACACTGGCACTCACCCAGACCATGACACTTATGTACTTATAGTATATATAAGTTTGAATATAGTTCAATTCCTCAATCGATGTCTCATTCACTCTTGGCATACAGCTTGATGTCATCCATGTGGCTGATGATTGCTCCATTCTGTAGTTGGTATCTGTAGCCAGTCTTGTCAATGATGTCCCTGAGGAGGTTCATGCCTATGCAGAACAGCAGTGGGGACAGAGCTATTCATCGGTAGATCTCGCACTTGATGGTGACATGTGCTCTAGGCTTGAAGTTGGCCTCTAGTGTTGTTCACCATGTCCCCACTGACTTCCTGATGAAGGCTCCAAGTGTCCTGTTGATCTTGTACAATTCTAGGTATTCCGGGATCCACTTGTGGGGCATCCAGTCTTAGGCCTTCATCTAATCAATTCAGGTGGTGCACAGGTTGGTCAGTCTGGTCTTGCAGCCCAGTGGTCAGTGGAGTTCATTTGAATTAACGCTACCTGGGCACACATATGGCTTGGTCGGTGAGCAGGCAATCTACTGCAGAAAGCAGATGTCTTCACCTCTTTCCATCTTCACTGTCTCTATCCAATAAAGGCAAAATCCCAAAAACATGATTAAGAGTAACTCTTAAATCACAGTCATATGGGAAGGTCATTGTTATTGACTTATGTAACACAATGAGCTACTGTCATTTTTAACACAAATGTATTGTTTTATTATTTAAATTTGTCTGCCTGTTTTCCTCTTAATGAGACGGTGACTTACACAATTAACATTATGTTGTATTAAGTAAGATCCCAAATTAGATATTAAGCCCATGAATT